TAATATTCATCGACTATCTTGAGAAAGGAAATACCATTAACAGTGAATATTATATAGCGTTATTGGAAAAAAAATTGTTTCATCAAGACAACGCACCGTGTCACAAGTCAATCAAAACAATGACAAAACTACATGAATTGAACTTCGAATTGCTCCCACATCCACCGTATTCGCCAGATTTAGCTCCCAGCGACTATTGGCTGTTCGCAGACCTGAAGAAAATGCTCGCCGGTAAGAAATTTCGCACGAATGAAGAGGTTATCGCTGAAACTGAGGCCTATTTTGAGGCAAAAGATAAATCGTTCTACAAAAGTGGTATTGGAATGTTAGAGCGGCGCTGGAATGATTGCGTTGCTCTTGATGGAGATTACGTTGATGATTAAAGCTAATTTTGAACCAAAAAAAACTGTTTTATTGTTAGGCCCGGGACTTTTCAGCCCATGTGTTATATTTAGTTCACTATAATATCTTTCGATTTTTTTTATGGAAGAGAGGGCATTGAGCAGACGAATTTTGAAGCTAATCTTCCAGTATAGATGTACAAAATTGACAGATGATTGTCCACAACAAGTTACTTTCCATAGGCGGAATTAACTAATTAATTAATTATAATGAATTAATTAACAACATCATTTGTTGAGAACATGTTACCATTTGACAAATTATTATCATCAAAATACTTTAGTACTTTTCGTAGACTTGTTCAATCGGAATCTTTACATGCTTTGACGAAACGAACCTTAGTATTTGACGAATTTAAACAAAAACGGGTGACAAAAAGCCGCTGGACGAGTCGAAACAATTTACAGACTTGACCAACCATATCATAACTCTAATATATCGCGTATCAGTTATGTTTTTTTATAAACAACGAAAAAAAGCCTGTTAAAAACCTGTAGTACAAGCGAATTATAAGAAACGTCTCATATGGGCACGAAAACTTGTCTGTCAATTTAACAGTAAATAAGTGTTTAATTGACAGATAATTTAGTTAAATTGAGAAACAACGACATAATTTCTTACTTAAACTTCAGGAATGCGAAGTATGGACGAACCCGTCATGTAAAATAAAATATTCTTAACGCTCAGCAAGTTTTCATTTTAGAGGAACAAGGAAGGTATAATTTTCTATAGTTAATGGTGTCAATGTATTACCCCCAACGCCCGACCTTTCAGCAATAAATAAATTGCGGGATGAATCGGGAACGAAAGGCCAAACAACGAATTTCACAGAATCATCTCTGGCAATATTAGTTCAGGATTCAGGGTCCACATTTACAATTGATTACTATTAAACTAATTTTTCGTGAGTAGCTTTATTTTGAAGACGCCTAACTTGCTCTCTTACAAAAAAACTCGATTGTGGCAGCCTACAGGGGTAGCAGGGATAAAATACGTCGATTTGACGATTCTCAAAAGTTTATTACTAACTGTGGGTTTTTTGTAGAAAATTATTAACATCTGATTTTTACTGTTTCTTATTTTAATATTTATAAAATTTAACAGCAACATTTGCTTTATACGTTATCCCGGTCCTGCGCTTAGAAGTGTTTGTTTGCCTCTTCTGCTCATAAGGCAGCCGTTTCCAAGGGGTTGAGCACTTGAAAAAATGGGCAGTTGGAAATGATCGGCACAGGCATAAATACATTTTCGATACGATATTTATTTTTCTAAATATTTGACAAAACAGAGAGTGTTGCTACCGTGTGTTGAGCTACGGAGTTTAGAGACGAAGATTTGACATACATAAGAGAAGATTTTAATTATATGATTATTTTTTAATGAAATTAAGATATTTGAGTACAAAACGATTTTTCTTATTACTAACTGTAGGACAAAAATATTACGTAAGAGATTAGTGTGTTCTCTGTCCAAATGAAGCAATGTCTTACTAGAAAACAGGATGCCTACCATAAACTTTTCGAATAACTGCTAAGTTTGGCAACAGACCTATACTAATGTCATAAATAAAACGTTCTAAAATATTTCTCGTAATCAGTATCGGTTTTCAGGTTTTACTCAATACTCAATACATTTATTGCATTCCACAATGTTTACTTAGATGGTACTCAAATATAAGATCAGATCATCATGGACCCTGTCGGGCACAGCAATAGATGAGAGAGGGAGAGATAATACAAACTAATAACAATAATAATCATACTTCAGTTTTTTATGTACATGCTTAATTTATTGACTGCTCAGATATTCATTGACGCTGTAATAGTATTTTTGTAGCAATAATTGTTTTAATTTATTTGAATATATATTTAATATGGTTTCATTTCTAATTTCATCGCGTAATTTATTGTAAATTTTGATCGACATTACTTGACTGCTATTTGAATGGATTTGGAGTCGGGATGAGGGTAGGTTTAGTCTAGTCCTATGGCGTAGTGTGTAGTTTTTTTGTTTATCCTCTCTTTTTGTAAACAGATGTTGATTTTTTCGTACGAATTTACATAAAAGATACACGCCACAAGACTTAGCCCAGGCCATTGAGAAGGTAAAGAATGGTGAATTGACTGCTGCAGCAGCTGACTTTTAGTACGATGGAGAAAAAAGATATTGATAACGTATCTGAGTCGTTTGTAGTAAAGAAGATAGCGATAGAAAATAAGAACGATGAAGCAAAAGAATATTATTTAACCAATGCTGAGGATAATATTTATTTTACGTAACTAACACTTTTTGAATTATTACTTTTATAAGCAATGAAGCTACACTTAAGTTGTGATTACTAAGGTAAATTTAGGTTTTTGATCTGATTTAATATTATAGTGGAACAAATCACTTGGTTCAAAATTATCACGTTTTTTGCAAATTTCAGCTTATTTTGTTGTTTATTAATAAAATCAAGATTCATCAAGATCAACGAATTCAAATACGTATTATTTCGTACACACATTGCTCTTATTATCGCCAATTTACTTTTCTCAAAATATAACAAACGATCGAACCAAAATTTGGCAAGACAATTGGTTCGTTCTACCTTAAGAATGACTGATATCTTGATAACGTCCCTGAGTCGTTAGGAGTAAGGAAGCTAGAGGTAAAAAAATAAAATAAAGCTAATGAGTATTACTCAACCAACGCTGTAGGGATTTTGCATGAAAGTTGGGTCGATCTGAAATCTAACAGGATGTGGCGACCGTGTTGTTTTGATGGAAAATTATTTAAGTGCTTAATTAATTTTGTATCAAAGTAATATCAATATAATATCTATACGTTTTTTAGCGGGACCAGTTTTTGTTTTTAGTAACATGTAAGCAGACCTTGCACCTACTGACTATTACTTTTTCCAAAATTTAGACAACTTTTTAGTGTGTAAAAAATTCAATTCCCGAGAGGCAGTACAAAATGCCTTTGAAGAGTTTGTTGCCTCCCGTCCAGCTGATTTTTACAAGAAGGGCATCAATAAACTGCCACGATTGCATGAGTGATTACTTCGAATAACAGAAATAAAAAAGTTTGAAAAAATAAGTACTTCACTTATTGCATACAAAACGTGAATAGATATTGATAATAATTATTGTAACTATGATTCTATAATTTTATTTCGGTAATAAATGGCTTTATTATTATTTTTATGTTTGTTTTTTCAGCTCATGGCTGGTTTTAACTGTATTTACGGGCCTAAAGCAAGTAAATACAGTGAGGTGTGTGGTTTGGTTATGCAGTAGTAGTAGGTGATTGCTGTGTGTATTCTGCTGTTTCGTTTTCTTCGATATCCATTAACTTTCTTAGCATGTGTGTAATATTGCTGCTTTCTGTAGACTTATATACACGGAATCATCTAAATCTATTAATTTGAAGCTATGTATATTATTAATTTACGTTTTTAACGCGAAATATGACTGACACGGCAGGTCAGTGTTCGGATGTTTAACTGTCAAAAATCACTTCATGCCGGTAACGCCAACCCGGTGAAATGTTAATCTCACGACCACTGACTCACCTACTAATCACCGCGCTATTGCTACAAAATAAGGCGAACGTTCAATTCTTGATTAAAATTGACCTGTTTTAAGAGTTCATGGTAGGTAGGCCAACAGGTGAGTATCACTAGTCCGATAAGAATTGTCATTTTCTGGTTTCTGGTTTAAGATTTCTCAAAAGATCATTTTCGTTTTTCTATTTTCAATATAACAAAGTTAAAACATCTTTTTCGAAATTTAAATAACTTTATTTTCTAGTAAACACAGTCTAATACAAAACTTGTAATTTTACTTTTAAAAAAATACGAGAAAATAAAAATAAAATCAAGATTTTCCGTAAGTATAGGAAATTGTAGGGCGTCTAATCGTAACGAAGCTATTCGCGAAGATTCAGCTTGATAATAACTATTTTTACATCAGGCATCCATACTATAATTTTTATTTGTTTGTTATACAACAACAATATGTGTTATACAACTAAATATTTATTGTTTTTTTTTTGTATTTCATGGTCATACTATTAAACCTTTAAGTATTACAGCCTTTATCTCCTTTAAGCACTTTTCAACTACACCTAATACGTCACTGCATGGGCACAGTGCGGGCGTGAAGGGCTAAATAACAAAAGCTGTGTGATAAAAATATGAAAAGAAACGTAACGGGTTATTTTTCACAAAAAAAAAGAAGCATATCGTAAGCATAGAACACCATTGTATTGTGTTCAAGGGAATCTAAAAAAACTAGTACCTAGTCATCAATGGCCGCCTATATTTGAGTTTCAATTAGAATTAAACATCGATGGCGGTTTTTAAGCCCGATCTTTTAGCGTTAATTCTTTGTTAGAGGGAAAGTTAGTCTCACTTGAAATACAACCTAAATACCGTCCTTCAGATAAAAATACTCCATCATAAATACGTGAAACCAAAAGCTACATCGACATAGTCCCACTATATTATGGTAATAGTATTTAGGTCTAATAACAAACAATTTTCATCTTATATCTATCAGGTCTCAGTCACCTCCGATAAAATTATGTAGTTAGATATTACGTAAAGAACTAACCTGTACATCGAAGGGTTGATGATGCTGCTGTGTGTCCGGCGCAGACGGTACGACGGAAGCGCCATTAACGAGGCTGGCAGCAGCTCCGGCGACTGCCCCCACGCCTCCGACGCCGCCCACGCCCCCCACGTTGCCCACGCCGCCGCTGGCGCCTCCCACTCCGCCGACGCCACTAACAGCACCGACACCAACGCCAACCCCGCCGCCATACTGCGTGTACAATTTTTCATGTAAATTGCCAGTGAACGATAAATATACTCGTATGGAAATTTTACGAGGTTAGCGGAGCCCAAACCCTTTGGTTCCCTCCGAAATTAGGGGGAGGGATAGCAGATGCCACTTACCATGAAGAACCCGTCTGCTTGTTTACTTCCTTATTGCATAAAATAAATTATAGAAAACTAAAAACACGCCCGACTAGACGAACTAAAGAGTAGAAAATAATATTCTATAAGTCCAAAAAGATTTTCTTTTATTGTGAAAATATTTTATTGTCAGATATTGGTATTATAAAAGATCTTAATAAGGACCCCACGTTTTTTTACGATTACATGAGTTACAAAAGCGTGTTTAACGTTAAGTAACTAACTATTTTTTTTTTGGCGTTTTTGGTCATAAATGATTAATAAGTAAGTCACATATGCTTCAGCACACGCCTCCTAATAGGTCGCAAAAGACACTATCGTATTTTTAGGTATGGAATAAGCCGTTAATCCTGAAGATCCTAATCAGGATAATTCGGCCAAATTCATCAAATGATTGTATTGTCATCGGCCCTTGATAAGTGTGCGAAGTTTTAATTTAATTCGACGTTTTGAAATGGGCCATAATCGCGTTCGAAGATTCACTTACATACAACATACATACTGTTGCGCCATAGGATTAAATAGTTCGATTGTTCCATAATTATACGGAATGTGGAGGACAGCGCCATCTAGTATCGAGTAAAGTATCACTATTTAGGTTGTGATTAATAATTCTGATACTTACAAAGCTAAATGGCGCTGCTGGTGTGCGTTACCCCAGCAAAATAATGTCGAAAATGGTCATTTAAACTTTATAGATAATTAGTTGCTCCCCTTCTGTAATTGTTAGGCACATTTTTAAATTTGTTTCACTTAAACTTTTTTAGTTATTTCAAAAAAACATTTCCTGCTGGGGTAACGTTTGAAACGTTACCGCAGCCAGACATTTTCTTTTTTAATTGTAATATTGAAATAAATTTTAGCTAGAGAATTAGTTATCTGGACTAGGTAAATGTTACAACTTATTTGGTATTTGTATTTTCTTCGGCTGCGAAGTTATTCGAAATCCTGCTGGAGTAACGTTTGTGGGTTTGCTGGATCTCTGAAACGGGTAAGCGGATTGTAACCATCTCTTGTACATAACTTCTTAAGGATTAGTTTTAATTTGTTCGACAATAAAATCACAAAAATAATGGACCGTTTAAAAATTATTTAGGTAAGTATGAAAACACTTCAATACGTCCTAACACTTTAAATAAGACCTCTAAAGACTTACTTCAAACGTTATTCTATTGCTTGTAACTACCTTCAAATGTATACGAATTTTCGTAAGAATACTGTTAGTGACTAAAAAGTTATGATGAAATGTAGCTCTCCACGTTCACGATCACAATGTGTGCGGCCTTTTTTGGCCACCGATAAACCTGTGTGTGGATATATAAACTGAATGTTATGCTAATAATTAGTTGTTTAGTTCAGTTGTCTACCTGTAAAATTTCAGAGTCGTACATATAATATTTTACGAGAAAATTAAATAAAAGTCATTTGAAGGTGCAAGTCCGTGGTAATCCGACCATGTTTAGGTGGTTACAAAAAAGCGATCACCCAGTACATTGTGCTGGCTTTTAAAATATGTAGGATATTATTTGCAAGTTTACTACGGATATGTACATAAGTGTTACAAAAAACTACATGTTTTTTAAATAATTTTTATTTTGGATTGTTTATTGCATAATTAGTAATCTAATAGTAAATAAAATAAAATTTCAAAAAAACATTTCCTGCTGGGGTAACCTTCGAAACGTTACCGCAGCCAGACATTTTATTTTTTAATTGGAATATTGAAATAAATTTTAGCTAGAGAATTAGTTATCTGGACTAGGTAAATGTTACAACTTATTTGGTATTTGTATTTTCTTCGGCTGCGAAGTTATTCGAAATCCTGCTGGAGTAACGTTTGTGGGTTTGCTGTATCACTGAAACGGGTAAGCGGATTGTAACCATCTTTTGAGCATAACTTCTTAAGGATTAGTTATAATTTGTTCAATAATAAAACAACAAAAATAATGGACCGTTTAAAAATTATCACAAAATGTTGAAATAGCTGCTTAATCTAGTAGCCTCTAAAAAGTTTGTACTTGCTAAAGAACATCTAACCTAATATGGTTCATTGACATGATAAAAAATAGTTAAATGTTATTATCCATGTGGATTAAGAACAAGGAGTGCCACCATCCCCATTTATCCCATGGGTGTCGTAAGAGCCGACTAAGGGAGCAAACTACGCAGGACAACAGCACTGCAAAGAGAAGGAAAACTTGAAACAAACCCTATACCAACCTATATTAATCCTGTGATTTTTGTATCATTTAAGACAATATATTGTATAGTTGTTAGAACAGCAATAAAAAATTGCGCGCGTTACTGCCGTACGAGGACTGCTATTTATGTACCAGGAATAACAAAGTGAAACAAACATAGTACCTATTTATTATAGTTTTATTGATTTTCAAAATATTCGCCCTGATGATCGATGCACTTTTGCATACGTTGGAACCAATTTTCGTATCCCTTTTTCTATTCTAATTGTGGTATCTCCAAAGCGTGTATTTTGACCGCATTAACAGCCTCTTCACGGGTCGAAACACGTTGACCACGTAATTTATTCTTCACGGTTGGGAATAAATAGAAGTCGTTGGGGCCCAAGTCAGGGTTGTCCGGCGGATGACCCGTTAAATCGATCTTTTGATCTTCCAAATACTGAGTTGCTTCGGCCGATGTGTCTGCCACACACACTGGCATTGTCATGATAAAGATGGATACTGCGTAGTCGGTAATTCTTCCTTATTTCTTCAAAGACTTCTGGGTAACAAATGGTCGTGTATCATTCAGAATTAATCGATTTACGATCCTATAGTGGCACTGTAGCATTTCCATTTATACCAAAAAAACAAGAGACTATTTGTTTCAAAGTGCTTTTTGAACAAAATGACTTTTGTTGGGTTCGATCCGGAACACTCAAACCGTTGATTGTTGTTAAGTTTCAGGATCATACGCATATATCCAAGATTCATCATCTGTGTATATATTAAAGACAACTTTTGACGCACCCTGATTGTACTTTTTAAACCAATCGACACGAGCTCGTTTTTGGTCAAATCTCAAGTTGTGCGAAATCCGTGAACATTTTTTTTTTACAGCTAAATGTTCGTGTAATATTTTATATATACTAGTCCTACTTATTCTCACAGACGCTTTTGTCTGGCGATATGTAACATGACGATCTTGCATTTTTAGTGCCCGCACAGCATCAATATTTCGAGGTACAAGAACCGATTTAGGGCGTCATTTTTTTTTTTTTTATTCGTCCGTGAGTACAGACTGCCTTTGTTAAACTCACTAAACCAGTGATTTTTGACTATGCTTCGTCCCCAAAAGTCGAATTGAGTTGATCGATGCACTCTTTTTTGAAGTTGGTCAGCGCCGAAAATCGTAATAAATCATAGCAGGAAAATTTTCACTAGGTAAAACCATAGTGATAGAAACGCAATTTTCAAAATGACGACACAAAGGATAAGCAAATGACAACTGCATGAAACAAATTGTATTCTTCAGCCAAAGAGTTCAATTTTTTAATGTTATTATTACCTTGTAATATTCTTCTGTAACTGGCCAGCAGTTCCGGATACATAAATAGCAGCCCTCGTAAAATTAAACTAACAAATTAAAAAAAAAATAACGAAATTATTCACTACTTTCATGCATTTTAAGTAGAAGAAATAGAGAACGGTACCTCATTCCACTGTTTATTATCACACATACATCATATTATGTCACATTCCAAATCTGAAGCGACTCGAATCGAAAAATGATATGACAAAAATATATTTATTTTACTTCATAGGGGCAAACAAGCAGATGGGTCACCTGATGGTAAGCAACTGCTGTCGCCCATGAACAGGTATTCATGAGCAACGGTAGTTCCTTACCTTATCTTACAAGTGCGTTACCAGCCCTTGAGTGCCCCTGCCAGAATTAAGGAAGCCGGGAACTCCGGCAACATCACTCACTCGGTGAAATGTAGTGAAAGAATTGCTTAACATGGTTTTCTGGGCCATGGTATCTCTCCGGTCGATCAGGACTATAATTACTTTGACTCTTAGGTTAGGTCAAATTTTTATCATAAAAAAAAATGCACTTCGATAGAATTATCCAGCTCTGTAGTCATTTAGCCAAATGTAAAACATAGTATTTACGCTAAACTTGCATACAGTGACATACTTAGGTGTTACATACTTAGTTTACTTGGTTAGTGAAATTTGAATGGTGCCTAGAGACTATACTAGACAAAACGATTACTAAGACTCTGGTCACATTCTCAGTGTGCCAAATAAAGCTGAACGTGCCATCTCACTAAACTATTTTACACGCTTTATATTAGCTTCACTTGTATGTTTGTTTGTATGTTTGTAACCGCCTCCTTTGGGCGTGATTTTGACTGACTTTAAACGGTCAGAATTCGTTCAAACTTTGTAGATATATTGAGGACCGATGACAATACACTAACTTCAAAAAAAATAGTTTTAAAAGAAAAGCGTGGGGTGCTTTTTACTATTGACAACAGGCACCCAACGCTTTTTTCAAATTTATTTTCTATTTTTTAGTTTGGTTTTGTATAGAAAGCGTGTTTTTTAGGTTTTTAAACTATAATTTTTTTTTATCATCGTCATCAGCCTCTTGCAGTCCACTGCCTACAGACCTGCCTGGTCATGGCCTACAGACTGAAAATTGCTGAATTGTATTGAAGCTGATTGGAGAGTTTAAATATACATTAGTATTTAAACTCTCCAATCAGGTTTATATGAACCAAGTGGCATCTCATTTGAGTTATGCCCGCAAGCTTACAGTGACAAGCATGACGTCACCGGAGCTCCCTGCTTCTGCTTATTTTCGCACGCGTATGTGAGTTATCATCAATAACTATATTTAAAAGTATAGGCAATTTCACTTTATGCAGGTTCAAGTCTTTTAAAACTTAAAATTATTTATTTATTTATTAAGCACTTCCTGCAAACATATTGCATAAGGCGGACTTAATTGCCACAGGAATTTTCTTCCAGTCAAACCTTGGGGTTGCAAAGCTGTGTGTGGCAGGTGTATATTTGGGACAGGTAAGGATGAGACTGCATTAAAGAATGTTACAAAAGGAGAAAAAAATCCTACTGATATACACTGTTTTTTTTTTTTCTTTTTGCCAAACCTTTATATTCTGCACTTTACTACCCACTGCACTACCCATATATTCTGCACTTTATTTCTGGACGATTTTCAAAATATGAACAAAAAATATTCAGTGGTTTAGAAACAGGACAATTTTATTGTTTTCGTAATTTGCAACTTCATGTGTAAATTCACAATACATTGACCTCAGGCGGCGATCAGCTGTATACGCGGCGTGTTAACATCACACGTTGCTACTTTTACTACACTCAAATCAAACAAAATATGTTGATTATTGCGTCATCAGGAGGACACGCGTTTTTAATGAGTTCATCCAGTACGTACAGTCAGTCGGCCAGTCAGCCTTTAGCCACCGCGATTCGCTGATAGTTATGCTGTTCTGTGTACTTGTTGTGCTCACGACAAATTATCGTAATAATAATATTGTGTGAACAATTAATGTTATCATGTGGGCAGGCCGACTTCGGAGTCCCGTAAAATTTATTTTGAAAAGTGAGAACATTAGTTTGTGTGTGTAGTGTGTGTGAAACTGAGTGCATAATCAGTCTCTTAATTTTATTGCGTTATCGGTATCGACATCCATAATGCCGCTAGTGACCTTCACAGCCGCGGAATATCCTGACATGATGTTAATTTACCGGGATAACGCACCTTTAGCTTTACGAACAACCCGAGGTATGGGAATCAATCGTGTTTGTCCTACAGACTTCCGAATTTATTAAGACCGGTAATCTTTTTAAGATTACGAGACAACCAAAGTACCTACTTTTTTAAGGAGTGACACATACTGCCGGGTCCGAAGCTAGTCGAGCATTCCCGAAATGAACAGGTTAATAAAATCATATTTTTAATAAATTTATTTTAAAAAGCAAGTGAACTGATTAGTAGGTAGGTAATAAGAATGTAAAGTTCGCTGCCTAGTCGCGGCGGCGGCGTCGCTTTGATGTCGCCGACATTGCGACGGTGCCGTGTACATTTCACCGACTCTAATTCGTTATCTGTTATTTCAGTTCTTGTCATAAGCTTCATCACATATTGTATAGGTACTAGGTATAAATACAAATAAATATCAAAATATAATGTATCTATATAATAATCGCTTGGCATTCGCTTGGGTTCACCGTAAAACCAAACCTACTGGACCAGTTTTTTTTGTCTCTAAGTCTTGATTAACACTATTTAAAATTATCTCCTTCCACTACATTTATCCATAACTGAACGTGGTTGTGTTCAGTGAGTATTTTCATGATAAATTTTATTTTTAAGCTTAAAACAGTATGTAAAATAAAGTTCAGTATTCTCAAAGGACGATATGAATAATGTGCGTTTTTATTGTAGTTTACGTTGTGTTAGTCAGGTCGTTTCCTTATACTAACGATAATAATTAAAGCTTGTTAGAATTATTAGGCATGTGTCTGTAGACAAAACCAATAATGTACCTGTTGTGTGCTTGCAAAACTGTTATTATCGAATTGTGGATGCTGTTCCATTTGCAAAACGAGTTCAATGTGTTGATTCATAGAGTCGTTCAATGTCATGCCTGAAACAAATAAATCCCCACATTATAATAAATGTATTAATACTAAACAACATGATATAAAATTAAAGGCAAGAAAAAACAACATACCAGGATGAATTTGTGGATGTTGTGGATGTGGTAGACCTTGTAAGGGAGCCACGCTTAACATGCCAGGGTGGTGCTGAAATTGAAATATATAATCAGTTGTCATCCTAACTGTCTTTATACTTTTGAAACCATAGTTATAGTTAGTATAGTAAATACTATAGTATGATAAATATATAGATAGTAAAAAGTATTTGTATTTTTTGCACATATTTTTCAACAAATCAAATATTTAAATATAGATGTTTTTATATAAGTAGTATTGAAATTTATTTTATATTCCACATGCTTATTCGGTTCCCTGCCAGGACAAATACATCTGTGATGAGCATTTGTTCTGTTTGAATGTAATTTATCTAGATATTTTTTGTATTTAGAACTATTTGTGCCCATTGACGGCAATAGGCTTGCCTCTATAACGTAAGTGGAATTAAAATTAAATTAAATATAAAATTCTCAAATCAAAGCACTTATTAATGCAGGAAGAGCAAATATGATTGAAACTGACCACAGTATCTGACCTTCCTAAAAATATTTTTAAGTGTTTAAGACTTTTACATTATTATTCTGAACTTATTAATGAACATTTTACATTAGCCTGAATTCTCCAAAGTTACTGCAGTGCCACATAATATGGCATACACAGGCAAATAATATTGCAGTGTAACAAGTGGTGCACTGTTTATGAGCAATAAAAAGTACAGTGGGGTATGTGGCTAGTGAAAGGCTACCTGGGGATGAGAAAGATGTGGTAAATGGTGCAATTGCGGTTGTGGCTGCGGCATGGCGTGGGGCGGCAGCAGCGAGAAGGCGGGCGCATCGCCGTTCCGCACACCCGAACTGGCGCCCGTCGCGGTTGCCTCCTCCTCTGCCGGGGAAGGCTGTCGCGAACCTGGAGTACGGCTGCAAAATTCAAACAAACATTTTTATACGGTTATGGTAGGTACCTCGAACCCTGAAGTTAACTCACTGAAGTTAAAGGGTATACGCATACGACTATAAGCATTAATTTACCCGTTTCTTACAAATAAACAACCGTTTATTCGTTTTTTCCATATTTCTCCTTATCGTGAATACGGTATCATTCAAGCTTGAGAGTGACGGTAAATTCGAAATTCAACCACTCACTGAATTATCGATAAATCGAGCAAGATTCGTCAATGGCCACTAAACCAATTCACATAAAGGATAGCAGTTGACAGAAGAGAAGAATGTATGTTATATTGTTTTAGGTAAAACTTGTTTGTGATTTATTGTGTAAAACAAAATAATCTTATAATTAATTGAAAGTGTGTTTAATACACTGCTGAAATAAGATGCCTATATCTATTTAGATTTCATTTTTGTGTTTTTCTAGTTTTTTTTCCTTTACTTTGTTTTATATGAGTTTAAAGTAAAAAATATTGTAGAATTTGGATCGTTTGACTGGAGGCAGAACCCAGGATGTACAGTAGAAATATCAACATAGCAACTACTCGTCTGTAGATGACCCGAGGTATGTCGGGGCACCAGGGACTTCCGTTCTAGGGTATACCTGGTTCCCCGGCTATTAGTACCCGAGACGGCGTGCGGTTTTAGTCGGTTCGAGTCCGACATGCCACCGACAGGGGATTTCCGCACGAAAAAAAAAAAGGGCTAGAATGCTGATAACATAGGTATAAAATATCCCAGGAAATAAAAGGCCTCCGCAGCAAACATTACAATCAATATTACAATTAAAACGAATGATATCTCTATATTACACTGTTTAAATCGAACTGATAGTTTTCAAAGGTGTGGCTCATAACAAATGACTTTTGCCTTTGAATACGCCTCGACTTTTTTGGTGGTAAAACACAACATAGATGATTTTTGCATCATAGTCTCAGTGGGCATACGATAACATTGAGCGCTAGACGAGCAGGCAGGTTGTAGCAACTGCGTGGGGGCGAATGGCATTGACAGAGGTCATGATCCATGCACGCGGTTATTGCCCGCGACACTAGCCAGCCGCGCTCTCTCGCTTGCGCCTGACTATTCAAAACAGACCTTTTAGGTTACTCGGTGGCCTTCGCTATGATCTTGTGTATTGACTACAATTACAATGTAATGCTGACCCATATACATAGATTAGATAATATCGTAATTATTTTTATGTATCAGACGACTTATTTTTTGGTCAATGACCTAATTAAAACGAAAAGTATGGCTCTGGAAATATTAAGATATCCTACAAACATTCCGATCAAAACAGCTTTATATCAAGTCTAAGACCAGTCCTGTAAAAGTTCCTAACAGAATACTTCGAATGGAGCAAAATCCTTGCATCTAAAAGAATGATAATGAAAATGTTACATTAATGTATTAGGTGATATAATTGAGGAACAACCTCGTGACTGAACCTTGCCAAGAATTCCATACTAATATTATAAATGCGAAAGTGAGTGTCTGTCTATCTGTTACCTCTTCATGCTTAAACCGCTGAGCCTGATAGTTTTTTTCCCGTCCTTTAGGGGGGGTGAAAGGGGGATTGGAACTTTGTATGGGAAATCAATAGCCGCTGAATTGATTTAAATAAAAATTTAGTATGGAGTTTGATTTTTGGATGGACATTGTAACCGACATACACGCGAGCGGAACCGCGGGCGAAAGCTAGTAATTACATAACTTCAGCGTCTGCAGGACATATCCTTTTAGAATCACGTTATATTTAATTTTATTCCGGAGGCTAAATCGCTGTGATTGGCAGGACCTGAAAGGACTTGTGAAGGGATATTAAAACTCTATTAAAAGATAATATAACTAACAACAGCTCTCCAAAATTTTGCTTACTTGTTTTGATCATTTCAGGACTACACCAACTTGTGTGCGGCAAGTGAACAAGAAACGTTTTAAAGAGATGGATATTAAAGGATACTACTATGTAGGAAAGTATTAAAAGCATGTATCTGTTTGTTATACAATACAATGCATGAAAAAAACATTCATTCCTTAATAAAAACCTATCATCGCAAGTGACATGGTAAGTTCAGTTCTATATGTTTAATCCAGTTTACTCACTTGAAAGCTTTATCATCTTCTTGCCCATTATGAAGACCATTGGGCAGAGATCCATGCTCATGTAGTTCATGCAAGTCCTTCTCGAAAGGAGAAGCTGACTTGTCTTCAGGACGTTCTTCAAGGACCATACCGCGCAGACCGGCAACCACGCCTGCAACTTTCTCACCTCCACCTGCAGCAACACCACCTATTTCTACTTAAACTATAAATTTAACACTATAAAAACCCTTTTGAAGAGCTCTTCTTGCCTCGCCTACGACAAGTTAATTTTATGTGCGTTTCGGACATAAATTAATAATTATTTGAAAATACCTTCTGTATTTTTAAATGGTCTTTACGATCATTGATTGAATGATTGCAAAATTTGCAACATAATAACGCGAAAGCTTCAACTAGTAATTCATATGAACCATACTTATAAATCATAATTATCAAAAGATCACCAAAAAATACAAATTTGCAGCCTGTATAAACCTACCTGTAGGAGATCCACCTAGTACATATTCGACCATTTTGACTCCAAGGCCAGCCGTGTCTCTAGGTGATAAGATACTGCCGGCATCGCCACCGGGGAACGCGACACCACGACGGGTACTCATCATCGGTACGCCTACATTGTGTTCCACAGCTATAACATAACAATCACTCTGTCAATAAAGTTGAGTTATTAGTAATTAAAATTGCACTTATGTCAAACTGGTCTAAAAATAAGTAGATAATAATGTATCATTCATTGTATGCAATTTCAATACGATTCTGCTGTACATTTTAATGTTTTCAAATCGGCTTTTTATTTAACTTCTTTTATTAATCCAGCGGTAAATAGACCTCCTGATTCAGAAACAGATTTGGGAATTCTGTGAAAAGTTAAGAATGTCTCTGCCATGCCGAAGACGGACCCCCTCGAAACTTCGGTGGGTGAGTTGTCACTCACCCACCGAAGTTTCGAGGGGGTCCGAGGGGGCCCCAAGAGCTAATAAAATACAAGATACAAAGCATGCGAGAACTCATGCAACATTGCAGCAAAGAAATGTACATAATTGTTTAAGATTGGTTTAATTTTATCATTTAAGAATTTCGTGAAAACTTTGTTGTAACTGCAGTTTAATTTTTTAATTAATTTGCAACAAAAAGCGTCCAGTTAATCAAACGTAAAAATGATTTTGATGACACAAACATTTGGAAAAAGTCCTATTACATTTTCATAGACGAAACACGAAAAAGTAACAGAAAGAATACCTAGAACTGAGACACATGATCGTCATCCTGTGGTAAACTATAGGAAAGGCCTATGCTGAAAAGCCAGGCAACCTTCGCTTCGTAACTGGTGTCAAGTATTATCAATTAATATTAAAGTATGTTATGATTATGTTAAACATCAACTGTGAAAAGGAGTTGATCTAATACCTTGCGCAGACCAAGTGGGATCACGCCACATCTGCTCCGGGTTCAACTGTAGTGGCGGCAGGTGTGGTGTGCCCTTGCTGTCGCCCCCGGCGCCCGGCCCTTTGTCCCATAGCTTTTTTGCAGCAGGTGCAATCTGAATAAAAAATACGTTAATAGCCGTTAAAAGAATGATAATTCTAGATGTTTAATAGTAGTGCCTATTGTGGGACATGAATAAGAAAAAGATTCTGGACGCCTCGATTGTATATGGTTATAGAGGAAGAGTTTTTTACCCAGCCACAAATATATACAGGTACATCAAACATACTAAAATTTGGCACGTCTTTGACCTAAGAAATATCGTAATTCTGAAATATACTTTATAGACAAATGGCAGTTTACAACTTTTACTTTAACCATAACCATTTTGAATTTTGAAAACGTAACAACAAAATCTTGACCAGTAGGTATTCCAAGCACTGGTAAAGATAAAGTTAGAACTAAGTTTGAATAAGACAGGGTATGATGGAGATCACGGTAGCTGTTTAGTATCATGTTAAAAATCAATCTTAAAAACTAGCTTTTACTAACTATGTTTTTATTGACTAACACTGCTCTGCTAAAAACAATGCGATTTTTTTATCCTTGAACTTTAACATTTATATTATAATATGTGTATATGTATGGGAATAAAAAAAATTGTGATCAAATTTATCTACATCAATCGATCGACATGCGAGTTTTCGAGTAGAGGTGTTTTCTTCAAAATGAATGCATTCTGCTTTAGAGTTCGCACTTCGAACTATGTTACGCAATATATATAATACCTCTGCAATTTGTCTATGCAAATGCATATTTGATGGCTATTTATATGTAACACATGGAATTCAAAGAAAGAAAAAAAACTATTAACAGCAATACTAAAAACAAAATAAATTATGACGAGTTTCATGTGCGACAAGACACCACTGATTAGCAGCATGCAATGCAATTGTTTTAATGTATATAACATTATGCTTACACTTAAGATCCTGAGTCTACATGTTAAGGTAATGAGCCTATGTTGCATAATACATTAGTAATGTCTAGATAAGGGATTTGATTTCTCACTTACAAACATTCAACCAATGTTTTTTTTGCATTTTTAAGAGTTCAGATATAATAACATTCTCATATAAAATTACATATGTAGAAAATAATAATGTATCTACAATACTGCTGTTTAATTTTTGGAAATCATTTTCAAGTTTGTGTATTTAATGTAATAGTTTATTTATGACCTGAAACTTTTATTAAACCATCTTTTTCATACTAGGTTTCAGGCAAGCATTCCTCAATAAAGTAGTATAGTGAAAAAAGAAAATAGCTTTTCAGATTAAAATAAAAAAATGTACATAAATATTTAAGAATAAATTTACGGTAAATGTTTTTCATTGATTCTATGCTCTTATTGGTCACATTTTTCCCTATTCCCTTCTTCGATAAATGGGCTATCCAACATTTAAGGGAATTTCTCAATTGAAAACAGTCGTTTCTGAGATTAGCACATTCAACCAAGCAAACAAACTTCAGCTATATAATATTAGCATAGACAAGTCTAAAGAATAGGTTCAGGTTTATGTATTTCATCACAATCTTCAGAAACATTAAGTTTGCAAGTATTACTTAGACAATAAAATGAAAATACATAAATTATGATTGTAAAAAGACTGAATGCTCTCTGAAAGTGTTATGATGTTTACTTCTACAAACATATCTAATGTATTTAAAATTATAGGTAAAAGTAAGTTTCTACTCTTCATTAAAATAATCTAAAAACTAGTCAGTGTAGTGATGGATTAGGAATATGGAGTGTCACTACCCCTATTCATCCCATGGTTGTCATAAGAGCTGAATAAGGGAACAAACTAAGCAGGACAACAGCACTGCTATATAAACTTGACACAAACCCTATACCAACCCGTCGCACCAGTGTAGTATAGTAAGCCAAAACCTCCTATCTAAGGAGAGGCTGAGAAGAGAGATCAGTGGACTATTAAAGGCTGTTGATGATGATAATGAACAACTTAAAAAGATCAAGCTCTAGCCAAAACCCCCCCTGGTTTGGACTCCAATGGATGTTTGCTTAGCTTAGCGTTTTTCTATGACACTGTGTTATCATTATCACTTTAATTGAACCTGCCCATTAGTATGAAAGCATGGCTCTCCCACAGTAAAAAATATTCTCAGAATCTCATATTTATTTACCAAATTATTTCAGTATCTATATCAGATGCAATGATACATAATCATTTTCATTTTTATTCAATTTAAAACAAGACAAAGGTAAACACTTTTTGTTGTCACTATACAAATGTCATGATTGATGTTGAGCAGTCAATGGTGGCTTATATGAATTGCAAACCCTACCCTGAACCCCATGGAACTCTTATTCTCACTAGCAGATAAACATCTCTTGAAATAATATTCTAAACAACTTATAGTAAACACTAACCCTAGTTCTGGTATTCCCTACCTTGCTCATTACAAGTTTTGACTGTATACTTCACTGCTGAAAGTGTATCAATTATTGATACATAAAAAATACATCAAAAAATACATCTACTCTGAGTGTCTTTAAGCATTCTATCTAACTGATTAGTTTAATTTAAAAGGTGTTGGTCATCTCTCAGTTACAGTCATAAGGATTTTATCTCATACATTTTTCAAGTTTTCATGGCCTTTGTTACAAATATTTCTTGTTGGAAGTTGTTTGGTTTAGTCAATAGTTCATTATATTATAACTAGTCATAATAAGCCCCCTTTGGATAAATTTCTTCACTTAGAACCTTACACATTATAAGTAATAAATAAAGGTCTTTTCATCCAAATTCCGCAATAAAATATTCTTTTTTTATTTCTGTTAAATAGATTCTGGAGCCTTTTCACAACAGTTATTTTTACCTTTTATTAAGAAAAAAACTTTAGTTAATAAAAAAAAGCTAATGATCTGATATAGTAATACAAGATCACATCATTTATTTACTAGTTTTCGTGTGAAAACCAAGTCATCGATTTGCCAGAAAAAGTGACTCAAAAGCATTACTAACACAAGTGACTATTGCGTGGACACCAAAGTGTACTGAAAATGAAGTTTTTAGTTTTAGAGCACCCCACAAACTTGAAATTTCATTACAATATGACTTTACGATTTAACATCTTTCGGATTGAACACATTTGAAATTGCAGTCACAGCTAGAAGAGTAAACAAATACTAAAAAGCTTCTACAGTATTGTAAAATAAAACCTTTTACATAAATAATACACAGCTATGCACACATCACAATTTGTAACTAAATTAAATATTTGGATTAAAATCTGTTAATAGGTAAACACAAAATATCAAAGAAGAATAGGATAAACAATGCATTTGAAGCAATTTAGGAATATAAAATGTGTTATATTCAGGAGACAGTATATAGCATTTACCTCAGAGAGCATCTGTAAGATGAACTTAGTGTATTAATTTGTCCCCTCACTATTATAAATGTCTAACTTGGTATCAATACTTGAACTTCTTTAAAAACTATGAAGCGGCAATAGTGATGTGATAACTTTTATCCTGCAAACATACATTTGCATGTAAACAATATTTTTAGTACAAATTATGACAGAGAGAAAGTAAGCCTCTGCACCGCATTATCAAAAAGGTAATTCAAAAATAAAAAAACTTTTGTAGTTCAAAAGTGGGCATAAAGTCAATAACTATTGTGGTAAGGACAGCCCAGTCCTATGTAAAAAACTAGTTTACCTAGAATTATCTCAAGTTCAAGAACAATAATGTAAACAAAAAGGAAATGCCAATCCAGTATTTGCAAATGATAATACGACACGCGATCATATACTAATTTATGAATGAAAAGTATGAAATTAGAGATCAGTATTTGGAGCTATACCTAATTAATTGGTTACACCGTTGTTGGACTAATGGCGACAATAACAGACAAAATGAGTAATGACAGAAAACATTATTAAATGTATTTATATAATAGTGCGACTTACAATCAAACATCATGAGATTTTCTATAATTTTAGAATTTTGACAATAATACGTTTATACAAGAAACTCAATCATACGCCGGTGAACAAATTCTAAATCAGAAATGGCGGACGCCGGTGACAAGTAAACAAAACAAAAATGGACCTGTTGCTTAAAAAAATAGGATTTCCTTAACTTCATGACTTAAAACAATGATAAAGTACATCATTCTATTAAATAAAACCATAAAACTCACCATGTCGGGGCCCATATCCTTAACATCAGTTTCGAAAAAAAAGTCGCTCAAGGGTTTCATGCGTACAATCCGCCTAAAGCTCAATCATGAACTACAAGAAAAGCTTATTGCAAACTAATAACACTTTCTGCTTGAAACACTAGTTCAATATAACAAATTCACTATCATCATTAACATTAGAACACATTTCTTACACTAATATGTTTATATTAAGCGAAATAAAACTAGAAAGATCCAAACTCAAATAATACAATGTTGATTTGTTTCGAACAAAGGACGTACGCCGACCACAGCGCCTGCGTTAAAATTCCCCATACAAGGGAGCGTCGTACGGAGCAAAGTTTAGTTTTCCGGACTGACAGATGGCGCGCAAACCAATAAATACATAACCATAGAATATAAACAGCAGGTAAGCAAGCTTCGTCTGTGGAATTTTGAAGTTTTTACCAAGTTGAAGATACATAGACATATTATAATATTATTATGGAACTAACATACTGCATTGTTTTGATGATATTTTAACTCAAGTTTAAGATATATTTATAGATGGTTCATACTATCACTTCAAGTGTAAAAATATACACTAAATTTTGTAGATTTCTCATACTAAGATGGCAAAGGCCTACTCCCCGCAAGGCACAGTAACACAGATTGTTAGTTTAGAAGAGGTTAGGCGAAAGCCAGAAGGCCAATTCTCTTGTTAAAAGTTCGGTCAAGATTAAGTTCAATCAATGTTGTTTAATACTTTATTACAAAAATACCTTTTATGACAGTTGCGAGATCGAGAGTTGATCGGAACTGAATTTTGACCGAACTTTTATTAAGAGAATTGGCCTTCTGATCAATTATTCCGTTTCTAGATGCAATGGTCATACGTCTT